TTTGAACGCAGGCTAATTGGTGCCAGGATCTTACCCCAGGCGTGGCACAGCCCTGGCAAGCGGGGAATGTGCCAGTGAATTAGTGAGCATTGGGGGGGGGGGGGGGGAGTTCACTGGTGGGGAAAGAGGGCAGTGAGTCAGTAGAAAACAGATCCCCTCCCATCCTGCCCTGCCCCTTCCCCACCAATCCTCCCACACCTCTGGGGAGGGGGGCGGTGGTGAGGCAATCCCTGCCCACCAGCTTCCAGATGCTGCCTGAATCTTCTCTGGGGTCCTGGGAAAGGGCTCTAAGGGCTCATTAACATCCTTTGTTAGTCAGAGAGGGCCGACCAATAATAATAGTGATGGGAGCGACGCTCTAGCAGCCGCTTACTGAGCACTTACTGCGCGCTGCGCCCCATATTCTTTGTGTAAATTCTCCCATTCGGGCTTCATTACCCCCTGGCTCCCGAAGCTTGCTGAACTCAGGGAGGTTAAGCTCGGTGAGCACCACCAGCAGCAGCTCTTATGGGTATCAAACCCTGCTCTAAGATCTTTTTGAGGGCTTTCATCTCTCAGCCAAGCCCAACTGCCTCCTTGCTAATTAATGTTGGCTGCCTGCCCCCCCCCCACCCGTAATGATAACGGTGCCGCACACTTTTTGAGGATGGAGACTTTCTGTGTGCCAGATACTGAGCTAAGCACTTGCCCTGAAATAACTAATCTGTTCCTCCCAACTTCCCTGGTAGCGGGAGACTTGCGTATCTCCTTATGCAGATGAGGGAACTGCGACATACCAAGGGGTCAAGAGCCACCAGCCCAGAAGTGAGAATGAAGAAATGACCCTGTTGGGGAGAAGGGAAGTAAACCAGGAATTTGGGGAAGCCGGTTGTGAAAGCGGGGAGGGAGAGTGGATGAGGCAGGGGCTGAGTAAGTCCGCGCTTGGCCGGAGGGAGCCTCGCAGGAAGGGAAAGCCCCTCACGGACCCGGCTTCTGAGGCCAGCAGACTCCGCAGCCTGAGTCAGCACCGAGTCGGGCGGACTGTCTACACGTGGGGGGTTCTGGGCATCTGGCTTTTAGTGCAGGCTTTGAAACCGGTGGGGTGTCGAGGAGGGGTATCCAGGTGTGTGACCACCTGGGGAGCTGGACGGGTGGTTAGGGGGGCGCATGGGGACCGGCCGCGTGTGCAGAGCGGACGCCCCACCATCGCCACAGCATGCCAAGTGCTTGGGCCTCGTGGTGCCCTTTGTATAGATCGGGAAACTGAGGCCCAGAGAAGGTTAAGCGACCTGCCTGGGGTTCCACGTGGCCTGAGGAAGAGGAGAGGCCAAGAGTCAGACCTAGGGCTCGCCAGGGGATCCTAGAGTGCGAAGCTCCCCGCCAGCACACATACACACGGGGCTGTGCTCAGGCTCAGGTCCCGCGGAAACAAGGAACGTTTATGAAAAGAGGGGCCTAGAAACCGGGGGGGGGGTGCACTAGCGCGCAGCTCTCCCGTGTCTCTGCGTCTGAGAACTGTGTGTGCGCCCCTAGGCGGCGTGTGCCCCTCCGCGCGGTGCTCGTGTGTACCTGGGGGCTGGGGGTAGCCCCGTTGTGTTCTGTGTTGCTTCTGGGAGTCGCACGTCTGCCTCTGCAGGGCGGGTGGAGGCTGCACGTCTAACTGTGGACGTGGTGTTCACGTCCGCGCCGCGAGGGCGCCCGAGCCTCTGCACCGTCGCCCTGGAATGCTACCTAGAGGGTCCCCCGGAACCCCTGTCCCAGCGCCGTGCCTCGCAGGGCCCCGTCGTGATGCCAGTCATTTGGGAAATGAGGAAGGTGGGGGTGTGGGGAGAGAGGGGGGAGGCCTGGAGGTCAGTCGGTCACCCTGAGCCTGCGGGCTTCCTGTGCCTGTCGGGAACTGGGAGCCACCGCCGCCCAGCAGCCCCTCCGGGAATGCCAGGAATGCCCTCTCTCGGCCCCCGGGGCCGCCAGCTGCACTCTCCCCCAGCCGGGGGCGCGGGGCACTCGGGTTACCCCCACACCCGAATGTGTGTGTGTGCGTGCGTGCGCGCCCACCCAGGAGTGTGGGCTTCTACTTCGGCAGCTCGTGGGCGTCTCTGGCCGTGTGTGTGCCTCTCCGTTTGCATAGATGGCCGGGCATGGTGTGTGTGTGTGTGTGTGTGTGTGTGTGTGTCCCTAGATGGACCTCTTGTGTGCCCAGGGCCGTGGTGGTCATGTGAATACCCAGAAGGGTGCGGACTTCTCTATGTGGCGTGGGTCCTGTCCGTTGTGCGGATGCCTGGGAGTGTTGCATGTGTCTGTGAGCGTTCAGTACGTGCCCAGTTCTGTCTGCGTCCTGTGGCCGTGCCTCTGTACTGCATGGGTAATCCTCCACGTTGTGTGTGTCCCTCTGTCGTGTGCGTTTGGGCGAGAGGAAGGGGTGTGTGCGCGTGTGTGTGCCCGCGCGTGCGCTGCTGGGCGGTGAGGCTGGCCAGGGGCACGGGCCCCTGCCCACACGGCGAGCACCTGGCAGGCTGAACGGCTGTGCGGATCTCGGCAGCCAGAGAGCGAGGCGTGCTCCGAGCCTGCGTTGGTCCTGGGTCTTTCCATCGTGCGGGTCCCGACACGCGTGGGAACGTCTGGGTCTGGGTTCCGAGGGGTTGTGTGCGGGTCTGTGGGCTGTGTCCGAACCATGCTCACACAGGAGGCCTGGCCCAGGGGTCCGGTTACTACGTGCTCACCACCACACCCCCACGCACACACATGCACACACTCACTTCTCTATCATCCATTCACTGTCAAAACAAATTTTCCCTTTTCCGGAAAAGTCCCCCACCCCTATCCCATGCCTCTGCCCGGGAAAGCAGAGGCGGGATGTCTGGCACTTGGGGGTAGTGGAGGGAGGGACAGGCAGGCAGGGCTCTGAGTTCGATTCTGGGCTCAGAGACGCTGTGTGACACCCCCCCCCCCGCCCCCGGCCTGGCGCTGCTATCTGTCTCTGACTCGCCTCTTCCGGGAAATGGCTCCTACTGTGGCTCCCACTGAATGGGCTTCTCTCAGCGGCATCCCCACCCCTGGCCATCGGCCCTCCCGCCCTGACCATGCTCTGCCTTCCCCCCCACCAGCTCAGCAGCACGACGTACCCTGTGGTGGTGAAGATGGGGCATGCGCACTCCGGGATGGGCAAGGTGAGTCCCCAGACGGGGTGTGCGTGTGCGCGTGTGCGTGGTGCACGCTCCTGGCATCGTGCGCACGTGTGTCTGTGTGTATCGCACATTCAACGCACACCAGTCATTCTGTATGACTGTGTGTCCTGGGCGTCTTCACCGATGTGTATTGTTTCCCTCACATGCTTAGATTCTGTTGGCCCAATTTTCTGTCAGACGTTCAACCAGTTTTGTGTGTCCTATTCTTTTGTTCGTGTAGCCGGCATTGTGTCTGTGTATACGCGTGCCTCTGTGTTGAACACACAGCGTGTGGTCTTTCATGTTCAAGGGTCTTGGGGTCCTGTATGCTTTCCGTCCCCCTGAGTCTGGCTCTGTGTACGTAGGAAGCCAACTTGGAATGTGTGTCTGTGCTTCTGTCTGCTTTCGTATCGTGTGTACCACTGACTTTGGGTCTGGGTGCTCACATGCACGGACTATACGTACACACCATTTTCCCACAGCTTTACTGAGAAAAAAGTCACCTCCCATACCACTTACCCACTTGAAGTGGACAACTCAACCGTTTTCAGTGTGTTCCAAGTTGCATCTCCCCACCTGTGTGTCTCTTGTGTCCGTGTGAAAGCCAGGAGGCCCACAATCCTGCATGCTTGAGTGCCACACGGTTGTTATGTCCCCGGGGTCCCCCGGCCCATCGGTGCGCACGCCCCCAGCCCGAGGCGCCCCCCCCCGCCCCCGCGGCCCACGGCTGCCCTGTCCTCAGCAGGCCCCGCTCCCCACAGGTCAAGGTGGACAACCAGCACGACTTCCAGGACATCGCGAGTGTCGTGGCACTGACCAAGACGTACGCCACCGCCGAGCCCTTCATCGATGCCAAATATGACGTGCGTGTCCAGAAGATTGGGCAGAACTACAAAGCCTACATGTGAGTGCAGAGACCAGGGCCGGGGTCGGGGGCCCCTGCCCCACGCAGCCCAGGCTCCCCTGAGCTTCGGTCCTCTCTCCTCTCGGCCCCCCTCCCCGCCG